AATAAAGAGTTACTTAAGTTAGTTTTATTTTAGAAAAAGATTTAGGGTTACGCGCAAATAAATTCAAAAAAAAACCTACGTATGAAATTCAATCGTAATAAATTTGTGGGAAACAGGTAGTAAACGCGAGTGTATGTTCTTAATCCGTGAAGGATTTTTACTTATCTGCCTTAGAGTAGTGCAAAAATAAAAAAGGTTAATTTGAAGAATATTTTTTATTGATAAAACAAATGTTACACACAACAAATACAACTTATTTTTGTTTTAAGTGGAAATTCCAAAACCAAACCTCACAAATTGATTATAAGGTAAGCGAGGGCATCGGTTCTAATTTCAAGATGCAAAATAATGTTTGGTTTCAAATTTCTATGGTGATCGAGACGAGATCGCAATTTACCGAAAACGTCCTAGCCAATTTGTATCCGTCGGTTGTCCTCTTGTTTTATACCTGTTAATGAACAATTGAACTAAGTGTCCTAAATTAAGAATCAAAATGCAAATGCGTTGTCAGTTCCAATTAAAAGGTTCCCCGGTTCTTAACATTCACAATACAACCAAACACAGCAGCATTAAACTGCTATTTTAACCTGGCATTCTGTGAGAGCTTGCTCCTAACCCTATCGAGCTATCCCATTCGTGCTACAACGATAGTATAGTTGTAGCGTTTCTATACCACAAAGCTCCTGTTGCTGCTGATTCTCTCCTGTTTTATTTACTTCTGTCGCCTATTACAACACCCACGTGATGATATGGGGTAGTGGATTCTCTTATGGCGCAACCACACAAGTGAATATAAGATAAAGTAACACCATATGAGTGTGTCAACTATATTTGCCTAGTTTCTCATAAAGTTATCGAAAAGAAAGCAACGTAAGTAAATTTATTTTCGTCAATATAAAGAGTAAAGTTAAGACAATATAACAATGCCGACAATAAATTTGCTGAGTTGTGGCTGCTAGATGAGAGAAAATAAGGTAACGAGAAAAGTTGGCGGGATAGAATCGGTAAACAGGTTGATAGTTACATGATATTTCATTTTAATCTTAGTCGTTATGAATAATATCGCTATGAAAATATAAAGGGAATGCAAAATTGTAACGTAGATAATTCAAATTCAAATATTTATTTACATAAATATAGTCGATGGATGCAGGTGGCTCAGGACCGTGCTTTGTGGCATACTTTGGGGGAGGCCTATGTTCAGCAGTGGACTTGTGAAGGGCTGTAATGATGATGATGATGATGATGATAAATATAGGTATTGTATAAGTTGAAAATTAAAAAAATAACAAAGCTAAACGTTTCGATTCCGATTACCTTTTTAAAATAGATGTCTAAATTTATTTGTTATTGGATAGCAAACATCTCTGATATACGCCCTGCAAATTTATCTTAGCCCTAGTATCTTTATATACACACACAATATCTTTTTGTTGACTTACGTTAACTAACCTCATTTTATGGATGTTTGTAATAGATAAATTTCAATCATATCAATTTAAAGGGCAACAATGATCCATTTTCAAACATCTAAATTATCTAGTTATAGCTTGACAAACGTTTATTGATTTATTAATAAGTATAAATTTACCTTTACAAATGGACTAACAGTAATAAGTGATAAGTAGATATAAATAACAAAAAGTTGATAATTGTTTAATAGTAGTAACACAACAAGATTCACTCGATGAATTACCCTATCCTTTTCCCGTCACTGGACAATAAAATTCACATCAGGTTTTCATTCTTTCATGATGGATCGAAGAATTTGGTGAAAAGTTTTGCTTCAACATTTGTAATACTTTGGCATGACAAAGGATTGAAATGATTTGGAAGGTCTAAGGTAAAACAGTCCCCAAAAACCATTAATGTAACGTCGAGAATGTTGCCTCCAATTGAGATTCGATGCCACGACCTGCGGTCATTTAATGGTTTAAATTCGAAATATTTTCTGTTCAAGACATTATAAGTTGCTAGTGCAAATAAAAGTAACAAAAACCGTTAGATTAAAATCATCAAAACATTTGTTAACGCCGCCGATAAATCTATTTAACGCTCCCTTATCCCGCAGATAGGAGAAAATTATATAAGAGAAAATAAGTTTAAACGAGAAAAGTTAGCACGATAGAATCGGCAAACAGACGGAGATGGCGTGTAGTACTTTTAAATCGGTCGCTGTACTTATTGCCGCAAAATTATTGTAGCGCTTGGAAGCTCCGTTTTTCCTCCTTAAAAAGAGCCGTGGCCTATGCTCACGAAGGGCACTGAGTTTAACTTCCTGATGCCATGGTCAACGAAGGCTACTTTTCCCTTCTAATAATACCAATATAAAAAAAAATACCGACAGTATTTTAGCGCTACGGTACTAGCACTACTGCATTAGACTATTCGAATATCTATTAGTTGTTATACTATGTAATATGAACAGATCTGCGCAGATAGTGCGCGAGATTGTGCGCAAGCACAGCTGCGCTGTCTATTCCTTCACTCTCATAATCCGATGTAAGGGCAATACGACACGACCGGATAGATATGAGGCGCAGAACCAATGCTCTTACGTACTTTCCATGGCACAGGTGTTAAACACCGCCTACTTCTGGACTCCAGATTGGTACAGACAACTTTTTCTTGATTCCAATAACTGATTTTGGCCTAACTCGGGATTCTAACGGTGAGCCTAGACCAACGAGGCGGTCAGAATTTGTTGCTATAAGCAGCATTTGTATTGAATTTGTGAGCTCCAAGTATACTTGTAGTGTATTAATGTACATATTGATATAAAACTACCAATAAAATATAAATCAAAAAATCAAATGTTAGTTAAAAAATTAACTAAGTTTTCATAAGCTTTAGCATATTTAATATATCAAATATGTATAATGAAAAACTTTTGAGTGGGTTAAAAATATTTTAAAATGTGTTCATTTGAAGTCGACGGCTATTAACCTGGAGTGTCGCGTGGTGGAGGTGTAAGAATATCCACTGCTGCATATCATGCCGTGGGTGTTAAATTGAAGCAGGCGATGGGCAGCAGCATCTTCCTGATAACAACTCAGTCATTAAATAACTTCGGATACCAACCGGCCCACCAAGCGTGGCAGCTATGGCAAAGTGCCCCCCTATGTGGCAATCTATGGAGGAGGTCTATGTTCAGCAGTGGACCTTTATAGGCTATAATCGATGGATGGATACTTCTCACCTTATAAGCACGTAAATGCATCATCTGTACAAAGTCAAGATTTTTATAATATTCGAAAAAAAATTACAATATATATATATATATATATATATATAAGTTATATTACCTATCTTTTTCTATAATAACAACAAAATCTTTTGTCCAAAATTAATTTGCAAAAAGAAACATACAAGTATTATACGCCAGCTAGATGTCGCCAGAAACTAATTGCACTCATGATTTTTTATTCAAATAACCAGTTCAGTTTTTTCAATTATGTCTGTAAATAAAATAAAATTACCTATTCATTTTTCATCAGTATGTAATTTGTATCTAAATATAATTAAAAAAACTACGAGCAAAGCTCGGTCGTCCAGGTACTTATATATCATTTATGAAGCTGTAGCATATATACAATATGTAACGTAATTAACGCACACCCTCAGACACCCCAGTTAGTATATTATGTTATAATCATTATACATACAATGAATTTTTAATTAAACATGTTTATGCATTGATTATTTATTAAATTTGTTATACTAATTCCGGAACAATGTTGTGGTCACAGTATAAATCCACGAAGGAACGCACGCAGGATCGCTCACGTAGGTATAGGTTTTGAGGGTCATGCTATCCCAGTAGGTATTCGCTTGACACAACTGTAGGTATGTATTAGAGTGCCGAAAAAAGCCGACATCCGACAATACACAATTGTTTATGTTAAAAAAATACCTATCTATGAACACTAACTGATGTTCGTACTCCGAGCATCGAGTTGTTTATTAGGTCTAGTAAACATTTGATTCCATTTTTACATCACACTTCAATCTTTGGACTGTCGATTGTGAATAATTTTGTTTATTGATTACGATACAATGTATAGGCAATATTCGTTACAAACTGTTATGCATTATCATAACATTTTAATTGTAATTGTAAATAATAACGAACTGCTAAAAATAAGAGGCGACAATACTTCCACCATAATTCAAATACGGCGTATTTAAAAGATGTGAATCTAAATATTTACAATAATTAAAAAAAAAACAAATACTTTTAACTTACTGATACCTGATAGCCTAAACACTCATGCAACGTTCACGTTGTGTTTTTAATACACTTTCAAAATGTCCACCACCTTGTTCAATACATTTTAATGAGCGTTTTCTTAACTGGTATTTTAATTTAGAAAGCACTTCAGTGTCATTTTTCACTATTTCAAAAGCGTTCACTATCTTATTTTTTAGGTCCTCGGCACTTGTTGTCTCACTAAAATAGACTAATGATTTAATACGTCCCCACAAAAAAAGTCAAGAGGCGTCAAATCAGCTGATCTGGGAGGCCACTGAACCGGGGCGCTGCGTCCGATCCAGTGCTCTCCAAACTCATTATCAAGGTGCTGTCGAACACTCCTAGTAAAATTAGCAGGGGTACCATCGTGTAGGTAGTATACCTCTTGTAAATTGTTAAGAGGTATGTCTTCTAGCAGCGTAGGTAGAGTTTTTCGTAAAAACATTAAATATGCGTCTCCTGTTAATCTTTGTAAGAACACAGGCCCCAGTATGTGTCTATCAATGATACCAGCCCAGACGTTAACTGAGAAACGGTGTTGGAAGGAATCTACTCTGCATGCGTGAGGATTTTCGTGCATCCATAAATGTGTGTTGTGTTGATTGTACATCTCCACACGTGTGAATGTACTTTCATCTGTCCAAATTATGTTCCGCTGCCGATTTTCTAATAACCAACGGCTGAACTGCAACCGTGGTGCGTAATCGTTTGGAGTCAACTCCTGGCATCTTCTGAGGTGGAATGGATGTTAATTATCACCACGAAGTGTTCTCCACACATGCATATGACTACATTGAAAGCGTGGGGCTGCTTCTCGAGTACTGGCATGGGGATTCTCATCGAAATAGTCCAGTATTTCGTTCTGAAGACTACTACGTGTACGCACATTGGCTCCCCTGTCGATGGCCGTGTTCGGACGGAACGTTCCGTGGTCGCGAAGCCGTTGAGTAGCAGCTAACATAGTCCTGCGGTCTATTCTTGTACCATACCTTTGGTTGAATGTTCTGCAAGCTAGAGCCACATTATCACCACACTGTGCCAAAGTCCTTACCATTTCGGTGTACTGAACGTTGCTGTATTGGAAAGACATCGCGCACGAAAAATTATTTGCAAAAATTCTCGTGAGCACTTTCTACTCATAATGTCCGCGCGTTACTAATTATAATTAATATTTTCTTTATTTAAGTTAGCTTTCATCGTTGCCGGCTAGCGCGAAGCGCCCGCGCCGGTAACGTGCTATCTCGCTCTATCCCAGGTTCCCAGGAAATAAGGTTCATTTTTCTTTATTTTGTATTCTATTATCTTGTTGTTAACGCTGTTAGTCTATACGACTCTTACAGCTTCGTCTTGTCACAGGGCTCGCGGCCTGCAAGGCCGCGAGCTAATTAAAAAGGGAAAGGCAATGAGGTGAAATGATGATGAATGATTTATGATTTGATATTGTTATCAATCATCATGTCGCCTTTTAGGTGTTTTCCTTTGAGCTATCTAACCGCAGTCCGAGGGGGGTGTGCGGACCCCCGTCTCTGACTGCTCAGCTCGTGTCGGTCGATGTTCTGGCGGTGAGAACCGTCCAGGAACGCGGGTGTACGGTGTGTACGCGGTGTGAGCTGGAACGCGTCGTGCCCGTCTGCGGGTGCGACGCGCCCCATTCGTTGTCCTAATTGTGTTTGTCCCATTTAGTGTGGGTGTAGTGTCGTTGTGTGATGTGCCTGCGACGCTTGGGTCGACTGGATCGAGCGATATTGGTGGCTCTATTAAAACATTTCGCGGTCTACGGAGATAGGACGCGACGTTTGCTATCGGAACGTAGTTAGCTGCGTTTGTCACTAGCGGGTTAGGGTGGGTTTCTACACTATCAAAGTAGCGTTGGGACATCTCCTTAAAATATTCGGAGATAGATGGTAGTTCACAATCATTGTGTAAGTCAGAGTTCCGTTGATACCACCGTGCGCCGGTGGCTTTCCGGATGAAAAAGTTTTGTACTCTTTGGAGTTTTAAGATATGGGTCTTATATGTATGGGCAAAAGCTACACTTGCATAGGACATAACTGGTCTAATGCAGGTTTTGTACAGTCGGAGTTTGTGTCTTAGGGACAGTTTACTCTTGCTGTTAACGAGAGGGTGTAGACGGTCAATTATTGACTTGGCTCTGTTGCGTACTACACTTATGTGCGTCTTGAAACTCATACGGGAGTCGAAAGTGACGCCTAGATATTTGGCCGATTTTTCCCAAGGGATTGGGCGGTCGTATAAAGAGATTGTTTTGGGTTTAGAACCTCCTGTAGAATTCCGTTGAAAGTATACTGCTACACTTTTATCGGGATTCACGTCGATTCTCCATAGGCGGAACCATTCACCAAGGCGATTGGTCGCTTTTTGGAGCTTTATAGCGAGTCTATTTTTGTTGGGGTCTGACACAAAGAGTGCCGTATCGTCGGCAAAGAGAGCGGTGTTAACTACGGGGTCTTTTGGGATATCACTCGTGAAGAGTGTGAAAAGGATTGGAGATAGTACGGAGCCCTGTGGAACCCCGGCCTTGAGGAAACGTTTCGAAGAACGAGTTCCCTCCACTCGATATCGAAAAGAGCGGTTCGATAGGAAAGCTCGTATGATGTGCACGAGCCTATCGGGCACTTTTAGTTTGTACAGCTTGTAAATCAAGCCGTCGTGCCAGACCTTGTCGAACGCCTTCGCGACATCGAAGAAGAGGGCTCCCGTGTTTCGAGACTTTTTTCTTAACGGGGTTTGACTGAAGCCAGACAGAATGTATTCTGTTAGGCGATGAATCTGGTGAGTGCATGAGTGATTGGCTCTAAAGCCGAACTGTTCGTCTGGGAGGAGTCCGTTGGTTTCGGTGAAATGACGGAGACGCTTAAGAATAATGCGCTCATATAATTTGGCCAATGTGTTGAGCAGGCTAATGGGTCTGTAGCTAGAGGGACGATTACGCGGTTTACCCGGTTTTGGGATCCCTATTACGTCTGCTTCCTTCCAGATGTCCGGGAAGGAGCAATTCGTGAGAAAGGTGTTAAATATTCCTACTAGGAGGCAAATAAGTGGCGCCGAAAGGGATTTAATAACCTTGTTGCTGATGCCGTCTGGCCCAGGGGCTGATCTACTTTTAAGACTTTTAATTGTATCGGTGACTTCATCTACTGTCACAGGATCGAGAGGTTCACCCGCTGGTGGCAGCGCAGTCCTACGTTCTACTTCCGTTTCAACCTCTAATAGGTGAGCGGGATCTATCGGTGCGGTGGATGGCGTGCACTGGTACTCTAGACTGTCTGCTAGGCATTCGGCTTTTTCAAGATCGTCAAGGGCGAGATCGGGGCGGTCTGGCCTCACGAGAGGCGGCATTGGTGCGGATTTGTCGGCTTTAAGAGCTCTTGTTAATCTCCAGAAGGCGTCTTGGGATGGTTCGATACCTTCTAAGAGGTTATCCCAGTTATCATTTCTAAACTCGGCTACTCGTTGTTTAATCTCGTTTTGTAGAGAACGTACCCGAAGTTTATTGGTTTCCGTGCGATAGCGGTCGTAAGTTTTAAGCGCGGAATTCTTCGCTCTAATCAGCCGTCGAACATCCGCCGGAAGTTTCGTGTATTGATCGCTCGATACACGCACCTTACGGGAGCAATCTTCGACCGCTGATGTGAGGTGAGTCGAAAGGGCGCTAATCGCCCTATCGGCCTCCTCCAGCGAGTCTATCTTGTCGGGGATAGTGTCCAAATGCTGGGAGTTCGTAGACTTAAGTTTGACCTCAAGTTTACGCCAGTCGACAATAGTTTTGGTCTGAGGGACCTCACCTGCCGGCTGGCCCAGTTGTAAAACGACCGGCCTGTGGTCTGAGACTAGCTCGATAATAGTCTCTATCGAATTAATACTAAGTCGGATGTCTTTTAGCAACGCTATATCAAGAACGTCCGGATGTTGGTTGTTTGAAAAAGGATAACGTGTTGGACTCTCGGGAGCGATAACATCGAAGTTAAGTCTCTCCGTGAGGTCTCTTAGAATTATTCCGTTAGAATTGTTAACGTTAGAATTCCAGCTAACGTGTTTACTATTTAGGTCTCCTGCGATTAATACGCTAGGGCCTAGGTTTAATAGAGCCGATATGTCGGAATCTAGTATGCTTTTTACGGGAGACAAGTATGCTGATGCAATTATTAATGGCGGATGGCCTGTGAGTGCTATCCTACAGACCGACGCTTCTAAGTTAGTAAGCGGCGGAGTATCTATCGGTACACATTGCAAGGACCTTTTGTAGTAGATCAAGGTGCCGCCTTTAGGTCCGGTCAACCTATCATTTCTTACTAGGGTATAATTAGCTATTTTGGGATCGCTCAAACTAGGTTTCAAGAAGGTCTCTTGCACTAGCATGATGTCGATATCATGATTGCGTAAAAAATAAATGATCTCTTCCTTTTGATCTCTGATACCGTTTGCGTTAAAGTACGCGACAGTCAGAGACCTAGGCTTGGTTCTACCTACAGGTCTTAATTCCATTTTGGTTAAAAATAAAGAAAGGAGTCGCTTAGGCGCACTGGAACGAACCTATCGCTTGGATAAGACTAAGATGCTCAATGGTAGCATTGAGCTTATCCTGAATTGAGTTAGCTTCGCAAAGTTTGCGGGCTAGAGTCGTGACTTCGGCCACATTAAAGCTGCTAGCGAAGTTGAACACTAACGAAAGGTCAGTGTTGATGTTTGACGGTGCCTGAGGGGCGGGTTTGGGCTTCTGGGCCTGGCGAGGAGGCACTGGCCGTGAAGCGGCCGCGCTGACTATCGCCGGGGGCTTAACCCATGCGTTGGGCTTAGGTGCTGAAGGCACCGGAAGGCTTGGGCCTTGCCCGGAAGACCCTTTAACGGGGGCGGGCTTGGCTGTAGCCTGAGCGGGCGCGGGTTTCGGCACCGAGATTGGTGCGATCGATGGGGCAGAATGCCGTGGGCGCGACCTACTGGGGTTGCCCGCACGTCCGCGCCGGATTGCTCCTCCATTCTGCTTCCTACGCGGCGCTTTGGAACACCCGCGATAGCTCGCTGGGTGTCCCTCTTCGCCGCACAGAACACAGCTTGGAGGGCCCTCCGTCTCGGGCGTTCGGGGGGCACTCAGTAGTGCCATGATCGCCTAAGCACTTGACGCACCTAGGCCTGGCGAAACAATTCTTAGCCGAGTGGCCGTATAATTGGCATCGGTAGCATTGGCCAACGATGCCCCTATTACGCGGGGACTCTACTACAATCCCCGTGAGATTGCATATTCTAGTTATGTTATATATTTGTTTGCCCTCTGGAGACAGGTCCAGTATGACAAGACAGAGATCGAAGTATCTTTTCTTATCTGTAGGGTGGTGCATCCTGTGCACTTCTCTAACAGGCAGGTTTTGCGATTTAAGATCGCTTAGAATGGATTCGGTTTCGAGCTCTTTAGGGAGACCGCGAACTACAACACGGAGGTTACGGTCCTCCGCGAGTGAGTATGTATGGAAGCTCAAGTTTTGAGCTTTTAAATGCGCAGTTAAAGCGCGGAAATCGTCCGTCGTTGCGACGTGGATGCGGATGCCTTGTGGTCCATTGTGGACTTTGGGGCAGAAAATTTTCTTTGAGTCTATCCACTTGGATAGGTTGCTCCAGCGCGACTTGTCCTGTAAAATTATAGGCGGCGGCGGCTTCTCCTTTCTAGGTTCGGCCTGAGTCGGTTTCGCGGTTTTAATCGCGGAAATTTTGCGCGCGGAAGGCGCGACTTTTTTGCCGGAGTGGCGTTAGGCGACGTAGGGGACGAGTGAGGCTCGTTTCCCTTTTTCGCGGCGGTGCGCTTACGTTTTTTACCCGAGACTAGGGTGAAGCCTTCGTCATCGGGTTTAGTAGGACGGTGAAGTTCGATATCCATTTCGGAGCCTGATTCAGCGTCCGAAAACAACGGTGTAGGACCGCGGGTGGAGAGCGCAGAAGGCGCAGGGGACGCGGCGTCGTATACTGTGTCGATGGACACAGGGGTCGAGCGGCCGGAGCTCGGTGAAGCGGGATCGTCGATACGAAGTACTGGGCGTTCAGCGGTGGACGAGTTACGTTGGGCTAAGAATTTAGCCC